GTGTGAGTGTGTGTGTGTGTCCCGGACGCCAGGGCGTGGGGCGGGCCGCCCTGTCCGGGAAGCTGTGTGAGTGTGAGTGTGTGAGTGTGAGTGTGTGTCCCGGCCGGCACTGACTCCGCATCTTGACGAGCTGGGAGACCTCCAGCAGCTCCCTCTCCGTGGGCATGTAGCCCAGCGTCCGCATGCAGGCGCCCAGCTCCCGGTGGCCGATGTAGCCGTCCCGGTCCCGGTCGAACTCCTGGAAGGCGGCGTGCAGCTCTGCGGGGGGCGGGGGGTCAGGCCGGGCCGGGCTCAGGGGCTCCCCCGCCCGCCGCCTCCGGCAAAGCTCACTCACCGTCCAGCTCCTCCGGGCCCAGCGCTCGGTCCTGCGGGGCGAGGCCAGCATGTCCCAGGGCCGGCCGGGCCCTGGCCACCCTGCTCCCGCCCCCCACCCGCCCGCCTGGGCAGGGCCCGTCCCACCAGGGCCGGGAAGGCAGCCGGAGGCCTGTGGGCCCCTTCCCGCTCCTGGACCCGGGCCTGAGCTCCAGGGGCAGGTGGGCTGGACCTGGGGGGCGAGTCCCAGCCCACCCCGGCCCCCAGCCCCGCCCAGGCCCCGGACCTTTCCGAAGAGGCGGCTGAGCAGCGGCCCGTATGTCTTCTGAGCTGCGTCCCGATGCGGGGCGGGCCAGTGCCGGTGGGACGGGCGCCGGGAGGCCGGCTCCTCCCGCCCCCCTGTCCTCGGGGGGTGCTCGCTGCCCCCGGAGGCCTCAGGGCCCCGGGAGGGGGTCTGCTCCCCAGAGTGGCCAGCGCCGCTTGGGGGCCCGCGGGGGCCCCTCTCCCTCTTGCTTCTCGTCCTGGCCAAGGGTGGGCCCTCAGCACCGCTGCCGGGAGCCGGGACGCCCCCCGGGGGCCGCTGGGGGCCGGGGGCCCGGGCTGGGCCGGGCCGCCCCCTCCCCTGCTCCGTGGCCATTGGAGCCGGGCGGGGGGCAGAGAGGCCGCACGGAAGCAGCTCAGCTCTGGGGACTGGAAGGCGGCCTGGGAGCGCCCTGCGGGGATTAGGCTAAGCGAGCGGGCGCCCAGGCCCTAATCCCGGCCTCTGGGTCAGGGGGGGCGGGAGCGGGCCAGGACGGGCGTCTGCATGGGCTTCAGCCGCCGCTCTGCCCCCAGGAGCTGGCTTCTCTGGGACACGGGGCAGCACTGCCGAGGAGGCGGGACTCTGTCCTGCGGCTTGGGCAGGACCGAGCCGGGAGGGCGAGAGAAGGCGTCTCAGGCGGGAGGAAGGCTGGGCGGTGGGCAGTGTGGGCCCCGCCTGGGGGACAGCCTGGCTGGAGCAGAGAGTGTATGAAATTCAGGAAGAGAGACTTTTTTTTAAAAATACATTTTATTGATTTCTTAGAGAGGAAGGGAGGAGGGTAGAGAGCTAGAAACATCGATGAGAGAGAAACATCGATCAGCCGCCTCTTGCACACCCCCTACTGGGGATGTGCCCGCAACCAAGGTACCTGCCCTTGACCGGAATCGAACCTGGGACCTTTCAGTCCGCAGGCCGACGCTCTGTCCACTGAGCCACACCGGCTAGGACAAGGCGGAGAGCCCGTGGATGCCGGAGTTAGGGATCTGGCGGTGAGGTCCGAGGCGGTGGACCCCGAGGAGCCCCAGAGCTGCCCTGTGCTGAGACACACACACACACACACACACACCCGCACACACACACTCTCACAGACACACACACACACCACACACCCACACAAACATGCACACACCCACAGACACACACACACACTCTCACAGACACACACACACACCACACACCCGCGCGCACACACCCACACAAACACACACACACACACAGACACACACACACAGACACACACACACACACAGACACACACACACACACACACACACACACACACACACACACACGCGCGCGCACACCCACACACCAGGCGGTTTCGCCGGTGGCGCTCTGAGAACCGGGCCTGGCCGGTGGCCTGGCCGCCCTGGGCCCAGGTTAGGGTTTCGGGCGAGCGGCCCATGAATGATTGATGTGCGCTCAGCTTGGGTTTCACGCGGCCGCCTGCGCGCCGGGCGCCATGCCGCGGCCCCCGCGTGGGCCTGCAGACGCCGGACCTGCGGGCAGCCGGCCCGCCCCGCTCCCTGCAGCCGGCGGCCTCACAGGTAAGCCGGCCGCTCGGGGCCGCGGGGAGCCTGCAGCGCGGGGGCTGCGGGGGAGGCCACGGGCGAAGGCCAGCTCTGAGGGACAGCGGGGCCCCCTCGGCCTGAGCCGGGAGAGGGGCACGGGGAGGGGGGGGGCTGGAGGAGGGCGAAGAGGCCTTCCTGGCCCCGGGCCCCGGGGCCGGCGCAGACCTTGCTCCCCTGAGGCCCGCGCTGCACCGGAGGGGGAGGGCCGGGTCCCAGACTCTCTGTCACCCTGACTGCCTGTGCGCCCAGGGGACCTGAGCCCTCCTCTTTGGAACCGTAAACCCTGTGCCCCAGGACACCAGACAGCCAAGTGGTTCTCAAACTGTGTTCCCTGGGGCCCTGCGGCACCCTCCCTTCCTCTCAGCTGAGCGCCCCCTTTAGTTCATGGGAGTTCCCCCACAAAGTGCACTCAGAGGAGAGATCCACCGCTTTAAAAGCAGGCTGCAGAGCCTCTGGGGTAGTGCGCTCGGCCGCGACGCGACTCCGAGGGGCCGGACGGTCGTGTCTGATTCACGTCCTGGTGTCTCCCTTCCGCCTCTGACCGCGGGCGTGTCCCTGAGCCTCTGCGTTTTCCTCTCGTCGCCTGCAAAACGGGCTCAGTGAGGCCCCGGCCAGTGCCCCCGGCTTGGGGAGCCTGCCCCGCGGTGACGAGGCGGCGCAGAGGGGGCCGTGACGGCCGGAGACGCACAGCTCCCTCACACCCGGCATTCCGCCTCCCTTGATTCGCCAGGCTCCACTCGGTGCCCAGCAGCGCCCGGGGACGTCAGATGGACACGGCCATGGAAGCCACGCTGGGGGTCTCGGGCCACGGGCCCCGCGCGGAGCTCGATGAGGAGGACTACTACCCCCAGGGGGGCTGGGACACGGTCTTCCTGGTGGCCCTGCTGCTGCTGGGGCTGCCGGCCAACGCGCTCATGGCCTGGCTGGCCGGCTCGCAGGCCCGGCACGGGGCGGGCACTCGGCTGGCCCTGCTGCTGCTCAGCCTGGCGCTGTCCGACTTCCTGTTCCTGGCGGCGGCGGCCTTCCAGATCGTGGAGATCCAGCACGGCGGGCACTGGCCGCTGGGCACCGCGGCCTGCCGCTTCTACTACTTCCTGTGGGGCGTGTCCTACTCCTCCGGCCTCCTCCTGCTGGCCGCCCTCAGCCTGGACCGCTGCCTGCTGGCGCTGTGCCCGCGCTGGTACCCGGGCCGCCGCCCCGTCCGCCTGCCCCTGTGGGTGTGCTCGGGGGTGTGGGTGCTGGCCACCCTGGTCAGCGTGCCCTGGCTGGTCTTCCCCGAGGCCGTGGCCTGGTGGTACGACCTGGTCATCTGCCTGGACTTCTGGGACAGCGAGGAGCTGCCGCTGCGCGTGCTGGAGGTGCTGGGCGGCCTGCTGCCCTTCCTGCTGCTGCTGGCGTGCCACCTGCTCACCCAGGCCGCCGCCTGCAGCGCCCGCTGCCGCCGCCGCCGCCCCCCCGCCCCCCGCGGCTTCGCCCGCGTGGCCGGGACCGTCCTGTCGGCCTACGTGGTGCTGCGGCTGCCCTACCAGCTGGCCCAGCTGCTGTACCTGGCCTTCCTGTGGGACCTGTACCCCGGCTACCTGCTGTGGGAGGCGCTGGTCTACTCCGACTACCTGGTGCTGCTCAGCAGCTGCCTGAGCCCCTTCCTGTGCCTGCTGGCCAGCGCCGACCTGCGGGCCCTGCTGCGCGCCGTGCTGTCCTCCTTCGCCGCCGCGCTCTGCGAGGAGCGGCCGGGCAGCCTCACGCCCGCCGAGCCGCAGGCCCAGGCCGACTTCGGGGGGCAGGCGCCGCCGGAGCCCACGGCCGAGGCCCTGCCGCCGGCGACGCCCCTGGCCCAGCCACGGGCGGACCCCACGGCCCAGCCACGGGCGGACCCCACGGCCCAGCCACGGGCGGACCCCACGGCCCAGCCACGGGCGGACCCCACGGCCCAGCCACGGGCGGACCCCACGGCCCAGCCACGGCTGGATGCTGGGGCCCAGCCAGGGTCAGACTCTGGGGCCCAGGCTCAGCTGAACCCCACGGCCCAGCCAGGGTCAGACTCTGGGGCCCAGCCAGGGTCAGACTCGGGGGCCCAGCCTCAGCTGCACCCCACGGCCCAGCCAGGGTCAGACTCTGGGGCCCAGCCAGGGTCAGACTCTGGGGCCCAGCCAGGGTCAGACTCGGGGGCCCAGGCTCAGCTGAACCCCACGGCCCAGCCAGGGTCAGACTCTGGGGCCCAGCCAGGGGCAGACTCTGGGGCCCAGCCTCAGCTGAACCCCACGGCGCAGAAACAGGCGGACCATCAGGCCCAGCCCCAGTTGGACTCTGTGGCCCCGACAGAGGGGAGCCCCGAGGCCCGGCCCCCGGGTCCGGCTGCCAGCTCGGCCCCCAGCCCCTGTGGCGAAGCCTCATTTGCCCCGGAGAGCCGGGCCGCGCCCGCGGCCTCGGAGGGAGAGGCCCCCGAGAGCCGGGCCGCGCCCGCGGCCTCGGAGGGAGAGGCCCCCGAGAGCCGGGCCGCGCCCGCGGCCTCGGAGGGAGAGGCCCCCGGCAGCGCCCCCCCAGAGGAGGGTCCCGGCGCAGGGCCCACGTGAGGGTCCGAAGCCCAGGCGTGCCCCGGCGGAGTCAGACAGCCAGAGAGGCGGGGCCCCGTGGATGTCGTCCTGGGAAACCCCGCCAGGCCCCTCGGGGCTGCAGGAGGGCGCCCGGGAGTGAGAATGAAGCGGCCAAAAGTCCCAGACAGTCTGTTGTGAGCGTCGTGGCCCTGTCGGCGTCCCACCCAGCTCTTCCATGCTTGGGCCCCCCTGCCCACCCCACACACGGGGGCCCAACAGCCCTCCCTCTGTCACCGCTGAGGGTGCCCTGCCCGGCTCTGCCTCCGACACCCAGGCCCGCTGACAGCTTACGCTCCGAGGGGAGAGACAGCCGGGGGCCGTCCCAGGGCCCGATCTGGCTCCCTGCATTCCTCCCCCCTTCTCCTGGCCCATCCTCTAACCCAGTGGTCGGCAAACTGCGGCTCTTTGGCCCCCTGAGTGCGGCTCTCCCACAAACACCAGCTGCGGGCGCGCGGACAGCGCGATTGGAACTTGGTGGCCCGAGCGCAGAGGTGGGCTTTCCGCTCTCCAAAGCAATGTCAGCCGCTCTGTGCTGTGGGCGTTCGGCTCTCGGCACTGCCCTAACCCGAGCATGAGGACAGAGGAGGGAGGGCGGCCGGCAGAGCGACAGGAGCAGCGGCGGGAGCAGCCGGGCCGCCCGCCGCGGCTCTGGGTGTGCCTCCCCTCGGAGCGCCCGCCTCGCCTGCTGTGTGAGCGCGAAGTGAGACCGTGAGAGGCCCCTGGCCAGAGCTGGGGCACACAGTAGGTGCGCAGTGAACAGAGCACCCAGGGGTGTCCCTGCAGGGCCGGGGCTGGAGGGTGGGGCGACACCCGGCCTGAGCACATGGGTCTGTGTGCTTGGGCCGACCAGCTGTGCCAGGAGAGCTGTGGCTGCAGACACCCAGGTGGCCTTGGAGGGCATGGGGCCGCCTCCGTGCCCTGGGCAGCCCCGGGGGACTTCAAGGTCTGCTCCATGCAAGGTTTCCGCTGGTTTCCACGTGCCCGGCAGGGTGGCAGCTGCAGGCACAGAGTGCCCTGGGCCTGCCCCCCTCCCAGCGCCTCCGAAGCACCAGCCCGGGGGCAGAGACGAGAGCTCCGGGGACCGGTGGCCTCCGAAAGGGCAGAGGTCACACAACATGTCCGGGCAGAGCCAGCCAACCCCCTCCCTCTCGAGCTGCCAACACGGCGAGAATAAAACTGGGAAGTGCTGAAGGTCTATTTTCTGACCTCCACCCTACTTCCCTTTCTCGCCACCACTCTCGGCCGGCTCCCACGCCGCCCAGCTTTCTCTCAACCCCCAGGGCTCCCAGACCGGCTCTCTGTGGCCTTTCCGCACACGTCCCTGCTTCCCCATTCGCTCAGCCTGTGGTCTTCAGCAGCTGAGCAATACCGTGACCAGCAGATGTAAACGGCAGTGGCATTTCACGCTACCCCTCCGAGGCCTGCTTACATCTTCAAAAGGAAACTGCTGGGCCGGCGAAATGGTTCTGGTTCCCAGCTTGCTCTTCACCCCAGCCTTCCCCTCTGTAAAATGGGTGATGGCGTTCCCCCTGCTGGGTTGGCCGCGGCGTCATTCACAGAGTGCCCGGATGGGGGCGCTCTGGGCGGTGGTGACAGGAGCAGCGCAGTCCTAGCGTTTCCCAGGATGGAGTTGTGGACACGGAGGCCGGACCGGCACCAACTTGTCGAGTTCATTCATTCAGCAAGTATTTTTTTAAAAACATTTTTGTTGATTTCCGAGAGGAAGGGAGCGAGATATAGAAAGATCGATGATGAGAGAGAATCATTGATCAGCTGCCTCCTGCACGCCCCCACCCCTGAGTCCGCAGCCTGGGCCTGTGGCCTGCCCTCCTGCGTCACAGGCCAAAGCTCAGCTGCTGAGCCTGCGGGCCGGGCCATCGGCGAGTGTTCACTGAGCACGGCTGGGGCCTCCCACGCGGTGGGCTTCAGGGCGTGGCCTCGGTCCCTTCGGGGGCTGTTCGAACCCCGGTTTCACGCTCAGCGGTGCCCCCTCCACCCGGAGGCTCTGCCTGGACACTCTGTAAATGGGGGATCAGTGACAGTGACTGATCCCTACCAAAGCCTTGGATCCTCGCACGGCGAGTGCTCAGTATTTGTTAGCCGTCCGTTTGCTTACACCAGTGAGCACCCGCAGGCCTCAGCCGGGCCTGGGCCCCGCGGTGACCCCGGCCGGAGCCCAGGCCGCCAGGCACTGGTCCTCCACCGTGGCCTCCTCCGGGCTCCACACGCTCTTAAAGGGCACACTCCCTCCGAGCAGATCCCTCCTCCCTTCCCCCGTCACAGGCCCCAAGGCCTTTTCCACTAGACCCTCAGTGCCAGCCGCCTGCCTCCACTCTGGCCCCCAGTCCAAAGCCCACCTCTAGGAGCCTGGGCCAGCCCCGCCCCCAAGGTCCCCAGAGGAATCCCGCCCGTAACGGAGGACTGCCATCCAGGAGAAAGGGCAGTGCCATGAAGGGTTTTGAGGAGTGAAGAGGAGTCCTCTGGGTGGCCCCGCATTCCGCAGCCCCGCCCTCTGCGCCCCTGTGCCTCCCTGTGACGCTCGGGGGAACCCATCCTTTCTCCAGACAAGGAGCAGGGCCCTCTCCCTCATGGGGGCCGGACACCGATTGCTTCTGAGCGCTGTGAACATGACCATTTCTCAATCCGACACACAGGGCTGCCGTCCGTTCATCCGCTCAGCGGGGTCCTCCCGTTCTGGGTGCTAGGACACAGCGGGGGCGAGGCGGAGGCTGAGCTTGGTTTGGACATCCCGGCGGGCAAGGCAGCCGCCAGCCAGCACACCGACAATTCTGTCACCTGCACCAGCCGTGCCTGAGGACGATGCAGGGGGACGGTGATGACCAATCCCTACAGTGGGCCAGGGGCCCCGGGGGAGTCTGAGGAGCCGGAGAGCGGTGGGTGGCGGGAGGGCAGCCAGCGAGGGCCCTTGGAGGAGGAGGCATCTGAGCGGAGGCCGGAGCCTTCCGATGAGGGAGCAGGCCGTGCCGAGTCCGGGGTCGGACGGAGAGGGTGTGTTTCTGGGACGGGAGGTCAGGGGCCACTGGGCCATGGACAGGGAAGGGGTGGCCGTCGGGAATGAGGGGCGGACGGCAGGGTGGGGGTGGGCAGCAGCCACTGCGGGTGTTATCTGGTTTGGGGTGTGGGCGCAATAGAAAGGAACTGTGGCCGCCTCCCCTCCCGTAAGCCGCCCCATTCCCGCCCTGGCCGGGCTGGCCTGCCCAGGTTTATGGGGCAGTGAGTGGGGCAGCGAGGACTTTGGAGCCAAACAGAGCAGCCTGAGGCCAGAGGGTGGCTGGGAGGCCCTCTGCGCCCTGAGCTGCTTCCTCCACGGGGTGTGGTGAGGGGCACGGGAGGGCACACTGGGCCCCATGGAGCCCTCGAAGGCTCCTTCTGACTTCCGCGCCCCCCACCTCCCCCCCGTCTGAGGAAGGGTCCTTGCCCACCCCCCCGGTCACCCAGCGCAGCAGATGCTCAGAGGAGTGAGGGGAAGGGGCTGGTGCGGGGACTCAGACCGCCTGTGGGACCTGCAGGAACACTAAGCCCGTCCCGGTGGCTGCAGGGCGGAGCGGCGGGCTGACCACCAGGTCTCTGTGGGGGGCGCTTGGGGAAAGACAGGAAACTGAGGGATCTGGGGGTGGGGGTGGGGGTGGGGGAGGACGGCTCATTTCTACTTTAAAAAATATATATTTTTACAGAGAGGAAGGGAGAGGGATAGAGAGTTAGAAATATCGATGAGAGAGAGACATCCATCAGCTGACCCCTACACACCCCCTACGGGGGATGTGCCCACAACCAAGGTACATGCCCTTGACCGGAATCGAACCTGGGACCCTTGAGTCCGCAGGCTGATGCTCTATCCACTGAGCCACACCTACTTTTAATGAGGAGGCCCGGCCAGACCAGGTGCTCCCGGGAAGAATGAGGTGCTGGGGGCTTCCACTGGCTCCCACAGCTCCGCTTTATTTACGTTGTCAGCCCGAGCCGTGCTTCTCTCACCTGGAAGGAGGCGGTCCCACGTCCCAGCGAGAGTGTGTTTGGGGGTGCATGGCGGGGTGTGTGTGTGTGTGTGTGTGTGCATAGCAGGAGGGGGTGGAGGGGGCGTGTGGCGGGGGGGGGGGTGCATAGCAGGAGGGGGTTGGAGGGGGTGCATGGCGGGGGAGGGGGGTGCATAGCAGGAGGGGCTGGAGGGGGTGCATGGCGGGGGAGGGGGGTGCATAGCAGGAGGGGGTTGGAGGGGGTGCATGGCGGGGGAGGGGGGTGCATAGCAGGAGGGGCTGGAGGGGGTGCATGGCGGGGGAGGGGGTGCATAGCAGGAGGGGGTTGGAGGGGGTGTATGGCGGGGGAGGGGGGTGCATAGCAGGAGGGGCTGGAGGGGGTGCATGGCGGGGGGGGGTGCATAGCAGGAGGGGGTTGGAGGGGGTGTATGGCGGGGGGAGGGGGGGAAATGGCAGGGGGGCGGGTGGATGGCCCGGCCCGGAGCACGCACAGGGGCGGAGGCGGGCGGCAGGTCTCCATCCTGCAGCGCCCGGGCTGCCCTCCCCTCAGGGCCCCGGGCTCCCAGCCTCGGGGCGGGGCTCCCAGGCCGCCCGGGCCAGCCCCCGCCCGGCGCCCCCCGCGCCCCCCGCGCCCCCCGCGCCCTCCGCCCCCGCCCGGCGCCCCCCGCGGCCCCCCCCGCGCCCCCCCCGCGCCCCCCCCCCGGCGCCGGCTCCAGCCCCGCCCCCGCCCCGCCCCGCCCCCCGCGCGTGACCAGGCCCCGCCCGCCGCGCGGTCACTTCCTGGTCCGCTTCCTGCTCCCGAGGCCGCCGCGGAGGGTCGGAGCCCGAGGCCGGAGCCGCAGTCCCGGCGCCGGTGAGCGCGGGCCGGGGCCGGGGCCGGGCGGGAGGTCGCGAGCCCGGGGAGCCCCCCGCGTGCCCCCCCTCGGCCCCGCGCCCCGGCCGCTTCTCCCTCCCGGGCCGGTCCCATGGCCCCGGGCCCCCCGGTTCCCCGCGGACCCCGCTCCGAGCGGCCCAGGGACGCGCCGCGCTCCCCGCCCCCCGCCCAGCCCTGCGGGCGCCCGGCCGCCCGGGCACCCCATCCCCGCGGCTCTGCACGCCCCGGGGCTCCACCGGGCCTAGCGCGGGCCCACAGCGGAGACCTGCCTGCCCCTCCGCCCGCCTCCCGTCACCCAGCTCCCCGGCACCCAGCTCCCCGGCACCCAGCTCCCCGGCACCCAGCTCCCCTTCATCCAGCTCCCCAGCACCCAGCTCCCCGTCACCCAGCTCCCCGGCACCCAGCTCCCCGGCACCCAGCTCCCCGGCACCCAGCTCCCCGGCACCCAGCTCCCCGGCACCCAGCTCCCTGTCACCCAGCACCCAGCTCCTGGATCCTGGGCGGGGGCGCCTGCTGGGAACTGACCCGGGGAAAGCTGAGCTCGCTGTGGCTTTGACTCCGCCCCCCGCCCCCCACACACCAGAGCCCACGAGGGGCCAGGGAAGGGTCCTGCCGGGCCTCAGGGCTCAGCGTCTCCCTCTTCCCTCTGCACCGGTGACCCCGTCCTGCAAGGGGAACTGGGAGCCAGGCGGGTAGTGATGGCCAGGCCCCAGGGGCGTCCCCGCCCCCCTCAGGCAGCCCCGGGAGGCAGGGCTGCTGGGCTGGGTGGGAGCTGGGAGGCTGGGCACTGGGCTGGGTGGGAACTGGGGGGCTGAGCACTGGGCTGGGTGGGAGCTGGGAGGCTGGGCACTGGGCTGGGTGGGAGGCTGGGGGGCTGGGCGCTGGGCTGGGTGGGAGCTGGGAGGCTGGGCGCTGGGCTGGGTGGGAGCTGGGAGGCTGGGCACTGGGCTGGGTGGGAGGCTGGGCGCTGGGCTGGGTGGGAGCTGGGGGGCTGGGCGCTGGGCTGGGTGGGAGCTGGGAGGCTGGGCGCTGGGCTGGGTGGGAGGCTGGGCACTGGGCTGGGTGGGAGCTGGGGGGCTGGGCGCTGGGCTGGGTGGGAGCTGGGAGGCTGGGCGCTGGGCTGGGTGGGAGCTGGGAGGCTGGGCACTGGGCTGGGTGGGAGGCTGGGCACTGGGCTGGGTGGGAGCTGGGGGGCTGGGCGCTGGGCTGGGTGGGAGCTGGGAGGCTGGGCGCTGGGCTGGGTGGGAGCTGGGAGGCTGGGCACTGGGCTGGGTGGGAGGCTGGGCGCTGGGCTGGGTGGGAGCTGGGGGGCTGGGCGCTGGGCTGGGTGGGAGCTGGGGGGCTGGGCGCTGGGCTGGGTGGGAGCTGGGGGGCTGGGCGCTGGGCTGGGGGGGGGCTGGGGGGCCGGGCGCTGGGCTGGGTGGGAGCTGGGGGGCTGGGCGCTGGGCTGGGTGGGAGCTGGGGGGCTGGGCGCTGGGCTGGGTGGGAGCTGGGAGGCTGGGCGCTGGGTGGGTGGGAGGGCGGGAGCTGACGCCCCTTCCCGCGGCAGACATGTCCTTCCGGAAGGTGGTTCGGCAGAGCAAGTTCCGGCACGTGTTCGGGCAGCCGGTGAAGAACGACCAGTGCTACGAGGACATCCGTGTGTCCCGCGTCACCTGGGACAGCACCTTCTGCGCCGTCAACCCCAAGTTCCTGGCGGTGATCGTGGAGGCCAGCGGTGGGGGCGCCTTCCTGGTGCTGCCCCTCAGCAAGGTGGGCCCGGGCCCGGGCCGGGGCGGGGCGGACGGGGCCCACGGCCGCAGGGTAGCTCCCTCCCACGCTGCCGGGAGGTGGCCCATCCCATCTCCCCCCACGGAGAAAGGCCTGTGGCGCCCAGTCAGGGTCCCGGCAGCCACCTCCCTGCGCCCCGGTGTGCCCGGAGGCCGAGGCCAGGGAGAGCAGCCACGTCCGGGCCCGGTGGGCCGGGCCGGGTGCCTCATTCCTGCCCTGGGAGGGCAGCTGAGGGTTTGGGAGGGGGGAGCCGGGAGCCTGAGTCCCCCTGACCGGCCGTGCCCCTCACGCCCGCAGACGGGCCGCATCGACAAGGCCTACCCCACCGTGTGCGGGCACACGGGGCCCGTCCTGGACATTGACTGGTGCCCCCACAACGACGAGGTCATCGCCAGCGGCTCCGAGGACTGCACGGTCATGGTGAGGCTGGGGCTGCGGGGGCCTGGGCTGCGGGGGCCCGGGCTGCGGGGGTCTGGGGTTTGAGGCCGCTGGACGCCAGGCCAGGCCTGGGCCTTAGCAGCAGCCTCGCCGCCCACAGGTGTGGCAGATCCCGGAGAACGGGCTGGTCTCCCCGCTGACGGAGCCGGTGGTGGTGCTGGAGGGGCACACCAAGCGCGTGGGCATCGTCACCTGGCACCCCACAGCCCGCAACGTGCTGCTCAGCGCAGGTCCGCCCGCCCCCACCCGCCCTGTCCCGCTCCTCGCCCCGGGCCCTCGGAGACACGGGAAAGCTGGGCCCGGAGGAGGCTCCGAGGGGCGCCGGCTGACACACACACACACCCCGCCCCGCAGGCTGCGACAACGTGGTGCTCATCTGGAACGTGGGCACCGCGGAGGAGCTGTACCGCCTGGACAGCCTGCACCCCGACCTCATCTACAACGTCAGCTGGAACCACAACGGCAGCCTCTTCTGCTCCGCCTGCAAGGACAAGAGCGTGCGCATCATCGACCCCCGCCGTGGCAGCCTGGTGGCGGTACGGCCCGGGGCGAGGCGGCCGTGGGCGGGCGGCCGGGCCGGCCGGGCGCCGCGGCCGGCGCCCTGACCACCGTGCCCCCACAGGAGCGGGAGAAGGCCCACGAGGGGGCGCGGCCCATGCGGGCCATCTTCCTGGCCGACGGCAAGGTGTTCACCACGGGCTTCAGCCGCATGAGCGAGCGGCAGCTGGCTCTCTGGGACCCGGTGAGTGGCCCCGGCCGGCCCTTGGCGGGGCGTGCGGAGTCACCCGGAGAGACCGTGGTCCCAGGTCCCCAGCCCAGCACCGCAGGCTCTCCTGTTGCTGCCCCCGCGCTCAGGCCTCCCTGTGCCTCCGGCTGCCTCTTTGCTCGCATTGTTCTCACCAACCGGAGGGTCTTTCCCTCCTTGGCCGGCCTGCTCCTCCCCGGCTGCCCGCTGAGACCCATGCAGAGGCCCCGCTTCCAGGAAGCCGCCAGCCCTTCCCGGAGTGCTCTCTCCAGGCTGGACTCTGGCCTCCCGGGCCCCTGAGCCAGCCGGTGCCTCCTGGCGATTGTCGGCCCCTCCCAGGGGCCTGGGCGTGGTCTGCAGGCCTGGCGTGGGCCGGGGGAGCGGGTCCTGGGAGAAGGGGCGCCAGGAGGGCTCGGCGGGCTCACTCTAGGCTAGGGGTGTCGAACTCAATCAGAGAAGGGGCCAAAATCTAAAATCCAGCCTAAATCGCGGGCCGAATGGTTTACTGAACAGTCATAAACTGTCATTGTGATGGAAATGCAGCGGAGTGCAGTGATGACAGCGCGGTGCGGGCCACATTGCAAGGCCTGGCGGGACGGATTTGGCCCTCGGGCCTGGTGTTTGACACATGTGCTCTAGGCAAAGGCGTGGAGGTGGAGAGAACCCAGTGGCCTATGTGTGAGGCTGGCTGGGGCAGCCCAGCGGAGCGCTGGGACCCTGAGGGGAGGGAAGGGGAGGGGAGGGGGGCCTAGCCTGGCCTGACGGCCCTTCCCCACACGCCAGGCAAACCTCGAAGAGCCCATGGCCCTGCAGGAGCTGGACTCGAGCAACGGGGCCCTGTTGCCCTTTTACGACCCGGACACCAGCGTGGTCTATGTGTGCGGCAAGGTGAGGCTGGGCGGCCTGGTGGGCAGGGCCGGGGGGAGCCCGAGCACTGAGACCCGTTCCCCCCGCCCCCCACACCGTAGGGCGACTCCAGCATCCGGTACTTCGAGATCACCGACGAGTCCCCGTACATCCACTTCCTGAACACGTTCACCAGCAAGGAGCCGCAGAGGGGCATGGGCAGCATGCCCAAGCGCGGCCTGGAGGTCAGCAAGTGCGAGATCGCCCGGTAAGAGGCCCCCCAGACAGCTGGCTTTGGGGGCGGGGAGGGGGGGAGGGCGGCCTGGGGCCGGGTTGGGAGGTTAAATTATAGCGGACTGCGTAGGAGGCCCGGGGCTCGGGGCCAGCCTTGGCGGGGCTCGGTGAGGGTGGCAGTGGGGAGTACAGGGAGCCGGGAGAGCGGGCAGGGGTCCCATGCACGGCTCCTCCCTCCCTCCCTCTCCAGGTTCTACAAACTGCATGAGCGCAAGTGTGAGCCCATTGTCATGACTGTGCCAAGAAAGGTGAGGCCACCCCGTTCCCCTGTCCCACCCTGGCCCTTCTCCAGCAGACAGGCTGTGAGGGGTGAGGCCTGCTGGGTGTGGGTGCCGTCAGTGGGCTGGCAAACACCAGGGTGTCCCAGGTGCTGGGCTGTACTGGGCAGGGGACGAGCCGAGATGGGTGAGAGCCAAGGCTGGCTCTGGGGGAACCGCAGGAGACAGCGGCTGGCAGTGTGGCTGGGCAGGGCCTCCGGGGGGGCAGCAGGCCTGGGGCGGGCCCTCCCGGGGTAGGCAGCAGGCCGGGCACAGGGCACAGAGCTGGGGACGGAGAGTGCAGGGAGGCTGGCTGCAGTGGGGCTCCCGGGAGGAGGGGTCGGGCCACGTGAGGCTGCATCTCATGCCCAGCCAAGAGCGCTGGGCGTGTCTCCTCCTGCAGCCAGCATTTGCTGAGTGACCCTTCGGTGCCAGGCACGTCCAGGGAGCCGAGCTGTGAACAGACTGACGGCTGTCCCAGGCGCTCCCGGCCGTGGGCACAGCCATGGCGCTGGGAACCCCCGTCCCTGCTAGGGAGGCGGGGAAGGCTTCGGAGAGGGAGCAGCGGGCGTCCAAAGGGAGGTGAAGGGACAGAGCGAGCTTAGGCGGGCGGTGCGTCAGGGCCGGCCACGGGGAATGGGCTGACAGGTGCAGGCCCGGAGGCCAGGAGAGAGACGAGGTGGCCACCCAGAGTCCTGACGAGAGGACGCTGATGGTGGGCCCCCGGCTGATCCCCACCCCTCACCCCCGCCCAGTCCGACCTCTTCCAGGACGATCTGTACCCGGACACGGCGGGGCCCGAGGCGGCCCTGGAGGCGGAGGAGTGGGTGAGCGGGCGGGACGCAGACCCCATCCTCATCTCCCTGCGGGAGGCCTACGTGCCCAGCAAACACCGGGACCTGAAGGTCAGCCGGCGCAACGTGCTCTCCGACAGCCGGCCCGCCGCGGCCCCCGCCCCCGCCGCCCCCGCCGGCCCGGCCGCCCCCAGCAGCAGCCTCGCGGGAGCCGGGGTAGGTGCTGGGCCGGCTGGGCGGTGGTGGGGAGCCCCGGTGAGCTGTGCGCGCCAGAACCCCAGAACCGTTTGCTGTTTGCCTCTGAGCCTCGGGCCCCTCCCGGCCTGGTGATGCCTCAGGGAGGGCTGCAGCCGTGACCCCTGACCCGTGTCCCTGCAGGAGGCGGCGAAGCTGGAGGAGGTGACGCAGGAGCTGCGGGCGCTCAGAGCGCTGGTCAAGGAGCAGGGGGAGCGGATCGGCCGCCTGGAGGAGCAGCTGGGCCGCATGGAGAACGGGGACGCCTAGGACCACCGGCCTCAGGCCACCGCCGCCATGCCCTCCTCACCGCCCGCCACCCGCTCCTCACCAGCTCTGCTGTCAGGTCACACTGCTGGCTGGCTGTCCCTGCCCCCCGCTGAGGGCCTCTGGGGCAGGTTCAAGGGCCAGTCCACACCCTCACCCGTCCTGGGGCCCAGGCTGGAGCTGCCTGGCTTTTGTCATTGTTACCGTGGAGGATTTTTGTACCAACACAAGCTTACACTCTGAGGGACCACCTCCCACTCCCACCCAGCCCCGCTCCCTCCCTGAGGAGGAGGGGGGATGGGCTCTATATTTTCATTCCAAATAAAAGTCTCTTTCTAAAAGCCAGTTTGCCGTTCTGCTGCAGGCGGGCTGGGAAGGAAAAGGGGACAGATGGGGCCGCAGGGACCATCCGCCTGGGAGAGGCCTGGGGCCGTGAGCATCCCCCGCCGCCAGCTTCCCTGAGGACGGAGGCAGAGGCACGTGGGAACGTCAGGGCCACATCCGGCGGAGCTGGCTGCCCCTTCCTCTCGGAGGCGGTCACAGCCCCACGCCTGGCCGGCCCAGCCGGCGAGAGGCCCGAGGGCCAGGGTGGCCCCACGCGGCTCGGGGGCCTGAGGCAGAGGTGGGTGGGGTCTCGTGGGCAGGAAGCGGAAGCGTAAGCGCCAAGTAACCCCCAGCTGCAGCCGAGCGCGGGAGCTCAGTTCTCACTTGGTCCAGTTGGAGCCGGAGGTGGGCACCCAGTGCTGAGGAGCCTGCGGACCCATGGTGAGCGCAGAGCCCGCTGGCCCTGGGGGCGGGGGGCGGGCAGGATTGGGAGTGAAGGAAGGATTCCCGTGGGGCTAGAAGCCGGTCCGGCAGAGGACGGAGCAGAGCCAGGACAGGTGTGGGCAGGAGCCGGGTCCTTCTCTCCCTTCGCCTCCGAGCTGGGCCTCCCTGGGCCTCAGGCTGTGACCCAGACCTGCTTAAGGCCCCCGAGAGACCCTCCCTGCCCCGCTGGTGAGCCTGCCCGGGAGGGAGTCTTGCTTGTACCTCTGCACCCTTCCCCCAACGCCCCCACCTGCCTTGTTCCAACCGCAGGCTTCCTCTGGCAGCTGTACCCGCCTCCCCAGCCGAGGCCCCCAGGGACAGAAAGCTAAACTGAACGGAAACGCTGTAGCTGGGCGGCAGCGGAGCAGGGGGAGGGTCTCAGGGACCCTTTTCCGGGGCCTGGCCAAGCGGGCAGTAAGCAATTGCCTTGGGACTGGTTCCTCCATCCCAGGCCTCAGGAAAAGCCAGCCCAACACCAACCCTGCAGGCTCCCTTCCCCTCCACCCCTGGCCACCTGGCAGGCTGCAGGCAACCGTTTATTGAGCACCTGCTATGTGCCAGGAGTTGTTTTGAGGTGCTTGAGCCAGAAAGAGCCCCGTCTTCCTGCCGTTAATTCTGGAGGGTGTGTATGGGGGAGGGGGGGATAAACCCAATAAAAAGCAGCATTCCCACTGGGCTGAGTGGGGGTGGGTAGTGGAGCTGGGTTGCAGGGATGAGGTCAGGGTGGTGAGGTCAGGCTAGGACTGAGGTCCTCAGAGCTAAGGTGAGAGTGGGCCATGTGGCTGGCAGGAAGGGGAGGGGGGCAGGGCATTCCGGCAGTCCCGAGCCCCCCAATCCCCGCAGAGCAGGCTTAGAAGGCGCAGTGGGGGGAGATGGACGGTCTCACGGGGCAAGTGAGGAGGTGGGCTTTCTGCTCCACTGTCCCCACTTTGCCCAAAAGGCAACCCAGGGCCCAGTCACCCCGCTGGCCCATGGCCTGGGGACGAGCCCTGCCCGTCTCCCCACAGGACCTGCCCTGCGCCCTCGGGCTCGGGACGCTGCTGGCCCTGCCAGGGGTCCTGGGCTCCGGTGGCAGTGCCAAGGACACCGCGGGCTCCAGCTCTGTCACTGTGGTCCTGCTGCTGCTGCTGCTGCTGCTGCTGCTGGTCACCGGCCTGGCCCTGGCCTGGCGCCGCCTCAGCCGGGACTCCGGCGGCTACTACCACCCGGCCCGCCTGGGCGCCGCGCTGTGGGGCCACGCCCGCCGCCTGCTCTGGGCCAGCCCCCCTGGCCGCTGGCTCCGGGCCCGGGCGGAGCTCCAGGCCCCAGACGAGGACCCGGAGCAGCAGGAGGACGAGCAGGACGAGGAAGACTACAGCCTCGGTGGCAGCTCCGGGGAGGCCCAGCCCCGGGAGGAGCAGCAGCGTGGAGAGGAGCGCGGCCCACAGCCCGGGGGGCCCGCACAGGAAGCCCACGGCGGCGGCCCCGACGGGGGCCTGGGCCTCGGCCCCCAGGAGCTGCGCGGCTCCGGCGGCAGCGCCGAGGCGCTGCTGAGCGACCTGCACGCCTTCGCGGGCAGCGCCGCCTGGGACGACAGTGCCGGGGCGGCGGGGGGCAGGGGCCTCCATGTCACCGCGCTGTAGGGCCAGCCCGGGGCACATCCCGGGCCGCGCCTGCTTCCCCATTGCCCTGACCCGGGCCCCGCCGCCCCTCCCCACGGAGACTCAGACTGTCACTCCACCCTCAGTGTCCCCAGGGCTGCGCATCTGCCCCTCCAGGAAGGCACCCTCCCCCGGGCACTGAGCAGCCTCTGAAATAAAGTCCTCCAGCCTCTGGCCCTGCGATGACCCCGACCCTGAGCAGACGCCCCTCTGGCACCACCTTGCCCACGCCTGCCCCCAGACGGCCGAAGGGAGCCAGGCCAGTGCCAGGATCGGATCTTTATTTCTGCAGGCACAGCTCTGCGGGGCAGGCCCTCCCCGCAGCTGGCCCCTCATGATCCAGGGCGTGGCCACTCCAGCAGAGGCTCTCACACTCACTCACTCCTGCCCCACGGCCCCCTTAGTGCCCGGGGTGCCCGCGGCCCCGCCTGGACTTCTTCTTCCCTGCGGGGGGCCGGATGGGGAGGGGCACGGAGCCCGAGGGCGGGGGCGGCGGCGGCAGAGGCGGCAGAGGGGGCTCCAGGGGCTCTGGCGGGCCGGGGCTGGGCCGGAACCCCTCAAAGGGCGAGAACGTCAGGGGGCTGCGGGGGAAACCAAGGCAGAGTCAGGGGACTTCCCCACCTGCCTGGGGACAGGCTGTGAGGGCAAGGTGTCCCCGAGGCGGATGGGAACCGAGGCTGGTGCTGGCTGAGAGCCCCGCCCCGGCCCCCCTCTGCGCGGAGTACCTGAGGGGTGTGCGGGGGCTGCTGTGGAGGCGCCGGGGGGAGCGCAGCTTGGGCTGGAAGGAGAAGCCCTCCTTGATGCTGTCCAGGACGGAGGGTGCCACGTACGTGAAACCCTGGGCAGAGGCGGAGGGAAGCTCAGCAGCCGCTGCTGCGGCCGGTCCCAACCAGGGCCTGGGGCCCGGAGGCCACCGCCCGCAGCCCGGGGCCCGGAGCCCACAGCCCGCAGCCCGGGGCCCGGAGCCCGCAGCCCCAGACCTACCAGGAAGGCCTGGTTGGCGCTCTCGCTGAGGGCCGTGTCGTCGGGACTGTCCACTGGCGTCTGCCGCGTGAAGTGGGTGTCAAACTGGCTCACGTCCTCTTCCGACTGCTGTGGGCAGACCGGGGTGGGGAGGGGTCAAGGGGTGTCCAAAATGGGGTCCTCCACCCACCCCTGGGCCCCCCACTCACCAGACAGGGCCTGAAGGGGGGGTCCACACGGCGGGCCAGGAGGTCGTCCCAGTTAATGTGCCGGAAAAAGGGGTGCCTCTGTGGGTAAAGCGCCCAAACATGCCAACGGTTCGCCCCCTGGGCTCTCAGTAACTCTGCCCTCCAGCACCCCGATGGTGGTTCAGACCCACCTGCACGTCAGCGGCGTCCCCCGGGCCGCCCCCCATCCGCTGGCTGGGGTTCCGCTTCAGAAACTAGAGGACAGGACAGGGGAGGGCTGGGACAGGCAGTGCTTGGTGTCCCCTGTCCCCGGTGGCCGGCCGGGAGGGGGCAGGGAGTGGAGAGGAGGAGAGTGGGAGGAGGCGGCCCTGGAGTGTGGTCTCTACCTCCTGATGCTCAGACTTCCGAGGTTTGGTCCAGTGCCCCCTTCTCTACGAAGCCTTTACGAAGGCCCTGGTGGCTGGCATCACCCAACTCCAAACCTGCGTGCCCCGTGCCCCTGGCCGCCTCTCCAGGGAAGAGTGGCTAGCTCATCGCCAACGGTTCGCCAATCAGCAGCTGCTCTGCAGAGCTCAGCCCCAAGCTCAGCATCTGGGACCGCAAAGCGGGGCTCCCCGGCCCCACAACGGCACCTGCACAGGCTGCAGTGCGCGGCTCCCCACGGCCCAGAGGCATCAGGAGCCGCCAGGGCTGGGGAACGAGAAGGGCCGGGCCAGGGCAGAGGGAGCCACCTTTTTGACGAGGTCCCGGGCATCCGGGGTGAGGTACGGGGGCAGCACCAGCTTCCCTTTGAGGATCTTGTCCATGGTTTTCTTCCGGTTCTCCGCGGTGAAGGGCGGCTGGAGGGGAGGAGGGCAGAGCAGGTGTGGGCCTCCCGCCCGGCCCCGCCCCTGCCCGGAGAGGGCTCCTCCCGCCCTCGCCCTGCCCTCCCGGGAGCCGGACTTGCCGATCCAGTGAGCATGTCGTACATCAGGGTGCCCAGGCTCCACCAGTCCACCGCCCGGTTGTGGCCGCTGCGCACCAGAATCTCGGGGGCCCTGGAAGCCGGCGGAGGCATCAGTCATGCCGGCCCTCCCCGCTGTCCTCCCGCCCCTGGGCCTCGCCGGCCGCCCCTTACATGTACTCGATGGTGCCGCAGAAGGTGTGGGTGACGGCTCCCTCGTGAATGGACTCCTTGCAGAGCCCGAAGTCCGTCAGCTTGATGTGGCCTGAGGAGGCACGATGGAGGAGTGGTCAGGGCCCCGGGCCGCCGCGGGCTCCTCGGCCGCCCCTCGGGCTCTGACAAGTGGGAGACGCACCCTGGCTGTTGAGCATGATGTTCTCGGGCTTGAGGTCCCGGTAGATGATGCCTTGGGAGTGCAGGTGGCCCAGGGCCAGCGTGATCTCTGCCAGGTAGAAGCTGCAGACACAGGCCGGGGGCAGGAGTGAGCGGGGCAGGCAGGCCCTCGGCTCCCGGGGCCCGGGAGAGGCGGGGGCACCCACCAGGCTGTGTCCTCCAGGAAGATGCCCTCTCGCTCCAGGTGCGTGAAGAGCTCGCCGCCTGCGACACAGACACGGCAGCAGCTGTGTGTGGGGCCGCCCCTCCGCTCTGCGAGCCTCGGTTTCTCCTCGGGGGCGTGGGGCTCACAGTTCCCGCCCTACCTGCCTCACAGAGCTGCCGTGGGCGCCTTCAATTCAGCAAACATCTACCGCCGCCTACTCGGTGCCCGGCCCTGTGCTGGGTGAGGCTGGGGACAGAGGTCAGAGACCCAGCCATTGCCCTCAGGATGCTCAGTCTAACGGGAGAAGACGTGACAGATGGAGGCGACAGCTCTGCGAGCTTAACCCCAAAATTCCTCCCAGAGGAGACTAAGGAGGACGGAATCAGTCCCGAGGAGGGGGGCCAGGAAGGCGTGGCGGCAGCGGGACTCAGAGGGGACGCCGAGATGGCGCTCAGGGGCTGGAGCGCACGGGCTCCCAGGCGGGTGGGGGAAAGCAGCTCCATGGCGGACAGGAGGCCCCGAGAGGCCAGGCCATGGTCAGGCTGTGTCCGGGCAGCTACAGGGAGCCATGAGTTCTGAGGAGTGGAGGGAGCAATGCCAGCTGAGATGACAACCCTGGGAGTCAATGGAGGAGACACTGGGAGGGGCTGAGCCGGAGGGAAGACACAGCTGTGCCCTCCCCGGGCCCCCATGGAGAGGATGGCGGTCATGGCGGAGAATGGCCTGACTGGCTGGGACCTGACTGGATGCAGGACACACAGGAGGAAGGCGCAGGGCATGAAGGGACAGTGGGATGGAGGACAGCCCTCTGGACTTCTAAACAATCCCACATTCTCATCCACCCCCCGCACAGGGAGGGACAACAGGCATTAGATAGATGTTTGCTGAATGAATGAACGAATGAACGAACGAACAAATGAATGAACGGATAAAGGGGTGGACAGAGACTGACAGACGGTGTGGGGGCCCCCGGCTGTCCTACACACCACAGCTCTCCAGGCTTCCCTCGGACCCCAGACCTTCCTGTGCTGGTTCCCGGGCCTGCCCATGCCCTCCCGCGCCCCCTCCTACCACTGAGGCACTCGAGGATGAGGTAGAGCTTGCCGCCAGTCTGGAAGGCATAGGCCAGTTCCACTATGAAGGGGTGTTTCACCGACTCCAGAATGTTCCGCTCAGCCCGCGTGTGAGCCGTGTCCTTGGCGTTGCGCACAATTTTGGCCTGGAGAGGCAGGGGTCGGCGAGAAGGTGGCACCTGGGGCCATTATCCTTCAGCCACCCTCCCTCACCCTCAGCGCCGCCCTGCCCGCCCGTGGCAGCAGCTCCTTGGTGTGGGGGCGCCTGTGCCCGGCATCCCTGGTCTCTGCCCACCGGGCACCATTAGCGCCCCCTCTAGTCACCATTCCAAAACGTGTTCAGGCATTGCCAAATGCCCCGGGCGGCCAGGCTGCCCCCGGCAGAGAATTAACGCCCAGACAGCACCCTGTACATTTCAGTCACCCACAAAGCACATCCGTGATGGGGTCCCTTAGAGTAATGAGCTAAAATTCCCATCTCCCAGCGATGCGGCCGTCCCAACGCAGCCCGCTCCCGGATGTGTGTGACGCTGGTGTGAACACACCCACTGTGCGGCCGAGTATGTAAAGTGTAGCGCTGCCCTGGCTGGTCTGGCTCGCTGGTCAGAGCACCAGCCTGAGGACCGAAGGGCCGTGGGTTTGACTCCCAGTCAAGGGCACGTGCCTTGGTTGCAGGCTCAGTTCCTGGGCCTGGCTGGGGCGTATACGGGAGACAACCAATCTATGCATCTCTCACATTGGTGTTTCTCTCCCTCCTTTTCTTCCTCCCTCCCTCCTTCCTTCCCTCTCTCTTTCACTCTGTCTAAAAATCAATGGAGAACTATCCTCCAGTGAGGATTTTAAAAAAAAAGCATGGTACTCACAATTATGTAGAGTACATATTTGTGAACAATAATAAATGACTATGTTACTGACTTATGTATGTGCTATACTGTACTTTTCTCTCTATTTTAGAGGGTGCTCTTCCTACTTATAAAAAGTTTGCCATACCACAGCCTGCCCTGCGACACTGCAGCAGCCTCATACATCTGGTTTACGGCATCTTTGTGTCTGACTGAACCCTGTGCTGTTTTGCACGGGAGTGACAGGCTCTGCCATGCTGTGTGGCGTGCAGCCGGTGAGACCATCCAGGTCTGTGTAAGTGCACTCTGTGATGTCTGTACACAATGGGATTGCCTGACAGTGCATTGCTCAGAACGTATGCCCTCAGTAAGTGGGGCATGACTGTGGTCACAGCTGACAACAGACCAGCAAACGCCCAAGATGGCGCCTGCCTCCTCCTTCACGGCCCCGCGGTCCTCCCACGCCTCGTGCGGCGCGGTGGGAAGGGCAGGCCTGGTGGCTGAACGAGTCACTCACCTTCCTCAGGACCTTCATGGCGTAGATTCGGCCCGAGTTGGTGCCCTGCACCTTTCGCACCTGGAACACCTGTGGGGCAGGGAAGACAGGATCAGCTTCCCCCTCCACACCCTGTCTTCACAGCACCCGCCCCACCCACCGCCCTGACACCCCGCCCTGAAGCCAGACGGAGGCTGCGCCCCCTAAGGGTGGGGCAGTAAAGACTGCCAGTCCGATTCTAAAAGGATGTGCCCTTCCACCCTTTCCGCCTCCGAGTCCGGGGGAGGCTCCGGGTGGACTCTGCCGGAGGCCCGGGAGGGGCCGCACCTTGCCGTAGCCGCCCTTGCCCAGCACGCGCAGCAGCTCGAAGCAGTGGGGCCCGATGCGCTCGGGGCCGGGGTTCACGCTGGTCTCCGTCAGCTCCACCTCCTCGTAGTGCCCCGCGGGCCTGCGGACACAGGGCGGTGGGGGCGAGGCTGCCTCCCCGGGTCCCTCCCCCGGGCCCGCCTCCCCCGACACGACCGTCACTCACTCCAGGCCAGCCGCCCTCAGGTCGGCGAGGGGACACGCGTCCTGCGAGAAACCGGGTCAGAGGCGGGAGGTGCGGGTGCCGCCCGGAGGGAGGGGCCGGGCCGGGCTGCTGGGCCCGGAGGGAGGGGCCGGGCCGGGCTGCTGGGCCCGGAGGGAGGGGCCGGGCCGGGCTGCTGGGCCCGGAGGGAGGGGATGGGATGGGGTGCTGGGCCCGGAGGGAGGGGACGGGCCGGGCTGCTGGGCCCGGAGGGAGGGGCCGGGCCAGGCTGCTGGGCCCGGAGGGACGGGACGGGATGGGGTGCTGGGCCGGAGGGAGGGGACGGGATGGGGTGCTGGGCCCGGAGGGAGGGGCCGGGATGGGCTGCTGGGCCGGAGGGAGGGGCCGGGATGGGGTGCTGGGCCCGGAGGGAGGGGCCGGGATGGGGTGCTGGGCCGGAGGGAGGGGCCGGGCAGGGCCGGGCTGCTGGGCCCGGAGGGAGGGGACGGGATGGGGTGCTGGGCCGGAGGGAGGGGCCGGGATGGGGTGCTGGGCCCGGAGGGAGGGGCCGGGATGGGGTGCTGGGCCCGGAGGGAGGGGCCGGGCCAGGCTGCTGGGCCCGGAGGGAGGGGCCGGGATGGGCTGCTGGGCCGGAGGGAGGGGCCGGGCAGGGCCGGGCTGCTGGGCCGGAGGGAGGGGCCGGGATGGCGCTGGCAGGCGAGGGGCCGGCCTGGGAGGGGAGGCCGGAGCGGAGAGAAGGGAGGACGGGGCAGGGCCCGGAAGGCGGGTGGGGACGGCGGGAAGGAGCCTGACAGGGCCGGCTCTGAGAAAGACGGGGGTCTCGGGAGCGGGGTCCGCTCGGGGGGGAGCCGGGGGGTGGGATCGGCTCTGGGATCCAGCCGCGCCCGGGAGGCCCACTCACCGCGGGGCTGAACTCCGGCTCGCCCTCGCCCTCGCCCTCGCCCTCGCTGCCTTCCTCCGTCTCCAGGTCCAGGTCAAACACGGCCGCCATGGCGGCGCCGGCCCGGGGCCCCTCGGCGCGTTCCGGCCGCGCAGTGACTGACAGCCCGGGCCGGGCCTCACGTCATCTCTGGGCGACGGCGGCGGCGCGCGCCGATGACGCAACACACCGGGCGCTTCGCACTAGCGAGGAGAAAATATGGCGTCCGTCGCAAGGTCTCTCGGGAATTGTAGTTCCAGGTTACCGAGATGCCAAAACCTGCGGAGCCGCTGTGGAAACCTTCAGTCTTCCCAGCACAGCACAGCTCTCCGGGCGGCCGGGGAGGCGCCCATCTTGGCCCTTAGAGAGTCTGAAGGGGGCAGAGCTGGACGCGCATACAGGTGTGAGTGTAAATGCAATTCCCAGCCCTGATGGGCCTGTCGCTGCCAGGCTGGCCAGGTGGCGATGGGTCAGGTCTTCCATCTGTTCGCCCCTAAAAGGGAGGCGGCTGCATCCGTGTCTCCCTAACGTGCCCCCGCGCCTCCGTGTTCCAGGACCCTGCAGGCCAGAGCATTTGCTCAGTGGCTGCTCCGTGCCCAACTCACTGCCAGGCTTTGCCGCCAGGTTCCTGCCAGAAAGGCCTTGTGTCTCACTCATCCACCTGCGAACGTAGGCTTGTGTTGGAATTTGCTCTGCTGCCAATATAAGCACGTTTTGTAATCCGGCTACCTGATACGAAATAGGCGCTTAATAAAACTTTGTTAAAAGAATGAATGAAGGAACGAAGGAACACACCAACCCAGGTCTGTGACTTTAGACTTGGGCATGCGTTCTTGCTGGATGGGGCTCTGTGGTGGTGTGTGTGTCTGGGTTGGGGTGTGTGTGTGTGCGTGTGTGTGTATGTGTGTGAATTGGACCAGATGAGGCCTGGGTGAGTGGATTTAAGCTTGGAAATACAGATCTCAGGGGCCTCCGTGCTGGAGGAGGGTCATCTGGTTGGGTGTGGCCCTGTGGGTGTAATTTCACCTCAGGAGGCCCTCAGGCTTGGGTGCTGGTGTGGATTCTCCTGGCAGGCTCCCACACAGGTCAACCCCAAAGCCTGGCCAGTGTGGCAGGACCCCCTGGCCACCCTCCCTTCCCCTTTCCCCATGGCGCTGAGCCGAGAGATGCTGTCCAAGTCGCAAGAACCTGTGGCAGACCCTGGGCCTGTGGGTAGTCCGTAAGCCTTTATTTGGAGGGGGATGCTTGGAGCTGTCCGTGGCTCCTCTGCCGAGCGTGCGGGAGTCCTTAAAGCAGCCTCCCCTGAGGGAAGGGGGAGACCCCTCCGCCAATGCGTTAGGTGTACCAGAGGCCAAAGCACCGAAGCTTGGTGAACATACATGATGCGTGAGGGGCTGTTCTCATGTGCCAGGGCCACATATGAATCAGGGCAGGAGGTTAGCAAGGCCTAGAAACTGAGGGCATGTAAGACAGTAAAAGCAGGAACCTGGACCCTCCACCTGTCCCTCGGCATTCTGCCCGCTGTGATAGGACCTGCAGGCCGTGGTTTTCCCTCTTGGAGCCTCTTTCCTCGTCTAACCGGCCGGTCATGTCCACGTGGAGGGGAGATGTACCTGCTGACCCGGCTCAGGTCAGGGAGCAGGCGCGGCCTTGCCGGAAGTCAGCAGCAGGCTCTCCAACTGTCCGGGAATTCGTTAAAGGAGAGGGTGAGAGTGAGAGCACAGGGTGTTTGGTCTCAGGTTTTCTTGGGATTTGCCCAAGGCCAGGGCCTGCCAGGTTCTCTCCTCCTGTCGATGGCAGGAAGAGAGAGATGCTTGGAGGGGTGGCAGGCTGGGCTTGGTGTGTGTGTGCTGTTGTCCCTTCATGGCAAGAGTCCTGGGCAGCTGTGGCCTGGACTGGCCTTCGGGAGGGCAAGAGGGCCCAGCGGCCTCCCAGTTGCTATCTTTTATGGCCCTTAATCCCAGGAGGCCTTGGTGTCAAATGGCCCTGCCTCTCTGGAGTGGTGCTGAGGCCTAGGCGGGGGCCAGGCCAGGGCGGGGGCAGGGCTGAGGGCAGGGAGGCAGGGAGAGTCCGGAAGCTGAAGGCAGCGGCGCCCCCTCCAGCGCTCTGGCCCTGCCCCCGGCACCAGTGCTATCTGAAGTGGGACAGGAAGTGCGCGACGGGGTAGTGGGGCCCGTCGATGCCCAGGCCCTGGCAGAGGCCCAGCAGGCGGAGGCGGGCCTCGGCGGGGCTGGGCCCGGCGCAGGCCAGGCTGCAGCAGGGCTCCTCGTACTCGCCGGGCCCCGGGGCCTCCTCCAGCGACGTGAACTGGTTGAAGCGCAGCAGGCCCCGGGCCTGAAGGGCCTGCAGTGCCTCCGGGCTGGCAGCGGAGCGCAGCGCCTGCCGGTGCTGGGACAGGAGGCAGGTGACGCCCACCAGGCAGCCCCTGGGCCGCGGGCGCGGGGGCACGGCGGGCCGCAGGCCGCAGGCCACCATGGCGGCGGCCAGCAGCAGGTCCACGCCGTACAGCTCCAGGATCCAGTCCCGCAGGTAGAAGCCGCCCATGCGGGGGTTGATCTCGAGGAGCCGGGGCCCGGCCGCCGTCAGCTTGAGCTCCACATTGAAGACGCCGTCCAGCAGCCCGCAGCCCAGGCAGCAGCGGAAGGCCGCCTGCACCAGCTGCGCCTCCTGCTCCGCGGCCAGCCCGCTGGGCATGCAGGCGGCCGTCTCGGTGAAGCCGGGCAGCCGCGTGGGGCCGTTGTCCGAGACGAAGGCGGCCAGCAGCCGCCCCCGGAACAGCACCAGGTCCACGTCGTGCTCGGTGCCCTCCACGAACTCCATCAGCAGCATGGCGTTGCCCCAGCCCAGCCCGATGCCCGGGTGGTCGGCCTCGCCCCGCAGGTCGCGGGCGATGCGCGAGAAGTGCCGGCGGCACTGCTGTGCGTCCTCCACCAGCCGCACGCCCACCGCGCCCGCCCCGAACTCCAGCTTCAGGACGCCCGGCAGGGGCACCTGGCGGGCCGCCCGCTCCACGTCCGCCTCGCTCTCCAGGGGGCAGCAGGGCACGGCGTGCAGGGCGGGCGCGGGCCAGGGCGGGCCGCGGCAGCGCAGCAGGTGCCGCTGGGTGCGGCTCTTCTCCTTGGCCAGGCGCACGGCGGCCAGCGGGCTGCAGGGCAGGCCCAGCTCCCGGCACAGCAGGGCGGTGAGCACCAGGCAGTCGTCCCAGAAGGAGAAGCAGCCGTCCAGCCGCAGGCCGCGCTCCCGCACCAGCTCCGCCAGCTGCCGCGCGAGCTCCTCGTCCCGCCTGTGCTCCGTCACGTCCAGGTGGATGAAGGTCTGCACCAGCCGGGCGGCGAAGTGGTTGGGGTCCGAGTCCACCAGGTGCAGCTGCAGAGACCACAGGAGGGCGGCACGCTCAGGTCAGCCCGGGCCGGGCGCTGAGGAACCAGGAGGGGGTTGTGGCCCTCTGGGGAGTGGGTTTGCCAGCATTAGGGGCTTGAGAAATACTCGCAGACGACGGAGTGAATGAGGTGCAGCCTGGGGCGGGGAGCACCCTAGGAGGGGCAGTGCTTACCCTGGGAGCCAAATGAGAGCCACCAGAGGAGAGGGCAGAGGGGCAGGGTGCAGAGGGCAAGTGTGCCATTTCCCACAGCAGACAGGGCTTGTAGGGAAGCCCCAGGCCCGGCTCGGACAGGGTCAGTGTCTTTGGGCATCACGCTCTCGGCCGTCACTGTGCTGACACGGGAGGCATGCACAGAGGAGTCCAGGGGCCACAGCTCCAAAGCTCACTGCCCGCGGGGGGAGCGGACACAGCAGCCGCACCCAAGGCAGAGCAGCCCCTAGGAGGGCGGGGAGGGTGGTGTCCGCGGTAACTGAGGATGTTGAGGCATTCCGGGTGAGTGTGTGCGGACACGGAGGGCAGGGCCGTGGAGGCCCAGGAACGGCTGGGGGAGGGGTGTGTACCGAGGGAGAGGGGACAGGGGCCACTGCAGCAGACGGAGGCCATGGCGAGCCTTGCTATTTGGCCCGTTTTGTGTCTGTTCAGTGGGGATAAGCATGTCTGTGCTGCCGCCTGGCTCCAGACCCTGTAATGAGGCCACTGCTGTGAGCTCGGCTCGGGGTCTGTAAGCTGCTCCCAGCACCTCAGAGGCGGCACCTGGCCTTCCTGGGGGAGAGGCCCAGGCCCCCTCGCCCGCCCGGCATTCTTAGCCGGGCCTGGCACTACTCCCGAAGCCGCCCGCCTCCAGCCTGTCTGCCCGGCTCCGCTTAGACCTGCAGGGACGGAGCCGCCGGCGGCTCCAGTGGAGCATCCACCTATGAACCAGGAGCCGGTTCGATTCCCGGTCAGGGCACAGGCCTGGGGTGTGGGCCAGGTCCCCAGTGGGGGTGTGCAGGAGGCAGCCGGTCCATGATTCTCTCTCATCATTGATGTTTCTCTCTCTCCCTCTCTCTTCCTCTCTGAAATCAATAATAATAATAATAATAATAATGAAAAAATGCGGGTGCGGGGACAGAAGTGGGCTAGACTTCTAACCTGGCGGCTGGCTTGGCCCCTAGGACTGGGGCCCAGCGCCCCAGAGAGATCGCGGGGGGCCGACCCCACCCCTAAGGCCGCTGCCGGCCCCGCACCTCCAGGCCGTAGTCGCGCGCCGCCGCCCACACGAACTTCTTGCTCTCGCCGCCCGCGCCCACCACCAGCAGCCGGCGGCCCGCCATCAGGCAGCGCGCCGAGCGCCGCAGCATCGTCTCCACCAGCGGCCCCGCCGCCGCCTCCGCCTCCTCCGCCTCCGGCCCCGCGCGCCGGGCCCACAGCCCCTCGAGCGCCCCGCACGCCTCCAGGCACCGGCCGCCGCCCAGCGACAGCGCCAGCGCCACCGGGGCCAGCGCGCCGCCCGCCGCCGCCAGCGCCAGGTCCACGCCTGCGGGGGGGGGGGGAGGCTCAGCGCGGCCGCCCCCGCGCCCTCCGCTCGCCCCCCGCCCCCCGTGACCCCGCCCCCCGCCCCCCGCCCCGCGCCCTCCGCGCCCTCCGCGCCCCCCGCGCCCCCCGCGCCCCCCGCGCCCCCCGCGCCCCCCGCGCCCCCCGCGCCCCCCGCGCCCCCCGCCCCGGCCGTGCCTTCCGCCCCCCGCTCCCCGCGCCCCACGCCCCCCGCGCCGGCCCCGCCGCACTCACCGAGGAAGTCCGTGCCCGCCAGGCGCCCGCCGCGCTGCTCCGCGCTCAGCCCGGCCTCCAGGGCCAGCACCGCGGCCAGCGCCGCCTCCGCGGCCGCCCGGACGCTCCGCCGCACGGCCGCCGCCTGGGCCGCCGCCCCGGGGCCGCACTGGGCCAGCGCCGCCTCCAGCGGGCGCGGCAGCGAGTCCTGGTGCCGGGGAGGCCGGTCCCCGCGGCCCACCGCGCACACCACCTGGGCGGGCTGCGGCTCAGGGACCGGCCGGGAGTCCTCCCGGGACACCCGCCCCTGCCCCCTGCACCCTCCTCCCCTGCACCCTCCTCCCCGTGCACCCCCCCCCGTACTCCCCCTGCACCCTCCTCCCCGTGCACCCTCCCCCCCCATCCCCCTGCACCCTCCTCCCCCTGCACCCTCCTCCCCCTGCACCCTCCTCCTTCTGCACCCTCCTCCCCGTGCACCCTCCCCCCCCCCCCCCCTGCACCCTCCTCCCCCTGCACCCTCCTCCCCCTGCACCCTCCTCCCCCTGCACCCTCCTCCTTCTGCACCCTCCTCCCCGTGCACCCTCCCCCCTCCCCCCCTGCACCCTCCTCCTCCTGCACCCTCCTCCTCCTGCACCCTCCTCC